TTATCTTCCATAATTGTCGGCCAACACAGGCGCCATATTTTAACATACAGTGGGTCACCTTGCTTCCACTGTGCTGTCTACGTTCAAAGTCAATTGTTTGAAATCATTTCTTTAAACGTTTATACATTTTTGTTGTACACTATTTTTTTACAGGATCTGGATTTGAAAATAAAATTTGTTGGCGAAGTAGCATATATCATGCAACATAGCATACCCAATATTACAGTGCTACACAACTATATTACAGAGAAGACATGCTCACTTCAATTAAAATCATATTATATATAAACATAAATGTATGTAATTAAAGCGAGAGGATCGTCACATGCGCACGCGCGGGAATTGAGCCTCAAAGCGATGATAACAACACACGTTAAACACGCAAAGGCCCATGAGTAGACGCTTGTTTGTAAACAATGTCACGACTAGTTTAAGCTTTGAATTTGTTATTGTTCACAAACCGAAGTTTGTAATAAAAACACTAAACTTTTTTTCTGTGTGGATTTATGCAACTTTATTTGTACAATACGAGAATGATTCTATCGTTAAGTGGCGATATAAAAAGAATGCGTGCCCTACTTCAAACTGTGAAACAGGTCAAGGTAAAATAGTTATTGCAGGTTATGCTCTAGGGTCACTTAAATATTTACCTACCACCTCTGTGGCCAGTACATGCATGATATAACAGTCTTGTAACCTTGGTATAGTAAATCATTATAGATGCTGCTAATTGATTATTGATAACATACAAGAAATGAGGCGCAAAGTATTTAAAACTTATCCTAACAGGCAATGCAGTGTGTATTCGCAGGTATCAGATTTAAATAGCTGCTTCTCATTCGAATTAAATCATTTTGGCTGTATTCCATGTACATCAATTTATGGGTGCCTTGCTGAAGTTGAAATTTTTTTAATGTTATTTTACATACACAGTGAGTGGGCATGACCTGTATTTGAAGGTCCTTTCAGTTTCCTTTGTAAATACATTTCTTGAATATTGTCAAGACCAAGTTTAGTACACGGAGATTTATTTGAGCAGTTTACACGGGATCTATGTCGTTTTCAAACACTTGTTATAGATATTCTGATCTCCTAAGATTATAGGCTTGTCTCATACTGCAGTATTGCTGTTTCATTATTCCTTGTGGTCACATTGCGTAATAAATCACTGACAAATATGGTACAACCTAGGCTTCTAAACTGGGCGATTTGAAACAGTGGCGTGATACATCTGCTTGGGTCTTACGTCATAAAATCTTTGCCCAAAAAATCATAATTGAAACAAAGCATATATACAAGACAGAATTTGATGCGCCGAATATTACCTTTTTAACAAACAAAATGCTCTCGGAGTGGCCTGCCTGACTGACACCACATTTTAGTGAAAGCTGAAAAAAGATTATTGGCGTGACAATAATTTGAACCAGACCAATAGCGTTGATTTTGTAGTTTGCAGCAAAGTTCCTCCATCTTCCGTCTGGAAATGAAATGCAATCTATCGTACCAATGCTTGTAGCTGGTAG